AACGAACATAGTTCAACCGCCAAACACGTAAATACCGTGGGCATCGAGGCGAAAAACAAATTTCCAATATAACCAAAGTTCCGATTCATAGTGCGGCCACGAACGTAGCAGTTTACCTCAAAATTAAATCAATCCCTAAAGTTAGTTAGTTAGGCAATTTGTATTATGTTACTATTACACATTCTTTGGGTCATTGCGCTGCCTAGTTAGACTTTTGTTAGCAGGGTTATAGCGACATGCGATTAAAAACACCACCTTAGAAATAAAGTCTTTTAATATTTTTATTTTAAATACATTAATATATTACAATGATAAAAACAATGACATTATAAGGATCTTATATGCAACTCTCCTGTATCCGATTGGATGTGGTGACCACTTCGGGCCCCCGATATTTATGGGTGAGCGTTTGGGACCCCGTAATCAACGTCGGATTGTGGGGGTTTGTCCGGTTAGGCCTCTGGAGACTTCGATATATCTGGAAAATGTTGATTAGCACTACTATTCTCCCTATCATCTTAATCGTTCATTACTGTTTGATTCGGGGCATGTAATTCTTTGGCAACGTGTTTAAAGGCGTATCCTTCGCCCTCATCGTCTTGGTCGTCTTCTTCGCGGCAACCAGGTGGTTCGTACTCGTATACTTTCATAAACCCGTGAATCGGTCTTCTTTCTGCAACAAGCGGATCTTCGATCAGCATTCAATTGATTGGGCCTTGTTTCAAAACTTACCATACTGATTTCGGATTATATCCGGATCCGTGGCTTCTATGGAGTTTCCATTCCGAACCGCTTCAGCTGTTATGGTGTGCTCAATGGAACCGCTGGAGGTTCGCATTCCAGTTATGGAACCATCGACAATCAGGTCATCTGCATTGATAACGGCTTCCATAGGAACATGCTTTGTACTGTTGCTATCCGGCCTGTTAAATTAGCATTTGAAAAATTCCAGGCGCTGCTTTAAACCGGGTAACTTAGTTATGAAAATAAACCCCTAAACAGGCAAGCAAAGTCCCTTTCTGCAACTTCTTTGCTTGATAAGATATTCAGAATGAGAATGAAAAATCGTAGTGGCTTTAAGAACGGAAAACGCGATAGCAAGATTTTTTTAATACTCGCTTTATTGCAGGTAACGCGAGGGCCGCTTACTTCCGTTTGTTTCGGATTGCAACTTTTAGCATTTCATAAAACTGTTTCTGAATGGTGTAACCATTTTCTGCTATGGCTCTTACATTGGATGAATAAATTCGCAATTGCAGCGTTCCGAGTTTTATGTTGCAGTTGTTCGGCCATTGTCGCAAAATCACTATCCTATTTAAATTTATGAAGATTGTTTAGTGATTTTCCGTGAAAGTGGCGCTTTAGTGGATTGTTAATGAGTGAGCAATTTGTGTTTTCTGGAGAGAATGGAATTGCCGAAGTGGAAGAACATTTCTCAATTTTTAAATAGCTGGCATGGAATTGAATACCTTTGGTATTTCAAAGTTTTTTAAAAAGGTGGATTTACCTGTGGCATGGCCTGGCGTAGTGTTTTCTACATAGTGCTACCAACACTAGACATACTCCGGTTGCCAAAATTGCTGCTGTTCCTAAAAGGCCCATTATCAGGGGGTTGATTGGCATACTGGCAGTCGAACCTGCAAAAAATACAGTCAGTTTTTTAGATTTTTCGTAGCAATTTGGGTGATAGCTATTTTCAGAAATTGAGGTTTTCTTTAGAGCGTCCGATTTGTGCGCCTTATGTGCCTTAAAACACAGTAGAACTGTTTTCTTTAATTGAAGGTTGTTTGAAACTTTTTCCAACATGGTCAAGGTCTCGATTTTTGTGAAATGTTTTTCCAAAAAATGGGGTGTTGACTCATAAAATTGTAAAGATTCGTACCCAAAATGAATGGGAATCCAAGTTCCTATTGGCTGTTTGGAGCATCAGCAGTCAAAATAACCGTAAATAGTAAAACAGATAATAATTCATTGAAAATAATCGGTCGATGAGAATCGGTCTAAGTAGCTATTTTTGCGCATTTTTATACTATTCTTAATGCAAGTAGCTTCAAAGTTCAGTTTGCCAAAAATGTATAAATTCGTCGATCAATCACTGAAACAGGCCGACTTTGAGCAAATTAATGCATGCTAAGTACAAATAAATTTCATCTCTTTGGCTAATATTATACAGGGTCTGCCAACGAGAAACACAGCTGCCTTCATTGGGGGCAAGTGATCCAAGTTTTAGATCACCACATTTTAGATCACTTGCCTCCCGTGTACTCTACAATTTTCAAGTTTCTCCTGATTATAGTTTGCCGTATACACCCTGTATAAGGTTTTTACCCCACACATTTCTTCTTATTGCCACGATTTCAAACACATGTTTAGGTCAACGAATTTTTCACAACGTGGCAAGTCAATAAAAAATGCTGAATGAAATTATCAGGAACATAAACGGCGCTTCATTGCGACAATTTAAGTGACGATTCTGGGGACCCAGATATTAGCAGCATTTTTAACTGTTCAACTTGAGAAACATATTTTTCTGCTCGAAGGACCAAAAACACAAAGAACGGTTCTTATGGCCTCTCCATGCATCGCACTTTCACCTCTATTTTATTCATCGCATGTTTTTCAAAATAAGTTAGACTACTGTGCCGTGATCCGTCAACCTTTATCGACGGATTTACGGCTCTTTCTTCGCGGGTCCCAAATGAATTCTTCTCGTTTTGGGCAATTTAAGTCTAAATGTACCAAATAACGTACCAAATTTCAAACCAAATAACGTACCAAATAGTGCGGTCAACATGATAAAATATTCCATATTTGAACAGTTATAAAACTAGGCAAAAGCTTGCTATTTAACTAAATCTAATCAATATTTCTATGGACGTTACCAGCACAACGCTCATTAAGCCCCGATTATCGTGCTAGTTAAAACTTTCAATGTATAAAAAGAACCGACTATAATTTTCCAAACTTCATTATGCCAAATGGATTTTGTTGATATTCGCAACCGCCAAGTTAAGTGGTCTGAGTGCAGCTGGAGCAATTTAATTAAAACGAAACTTATGAGCCTCATTTCTGCTTTGAATCCTCCCAACTGCTCTCAATAAGTGAAATTCGATAAGTTGCAATTTCCCCGTACAATTTCATAACAATTCCAGAAGTCGAAAGGCGGAGTTCTAGGAAAATGGATTTGTGCAGAAAAATTATAAGTATCCGGGGCCAGAAAACTGAGAAGTCAAGTCATTATTTTCCAATTTCGTTGGGCAATCTAAAAGTAAATTGTATCGAGCAAGAAAAACGTGTAGTTCGCGTGTGTGTCTTGCAACGTGACTTGCAAAAGCACTTCGTAACAATCAATGGAACAACCTCGTTCTTTTTGCCCGTTTGAATAATGCACATTTGTCTTAAGTGAAACGCGAACAACTTCAGATCTAGTTTTACGAGCCAACGTCAAAGTGTGTTTTCGATTTTATCGCGACGCCGAAAAATTGTTATCTATAAAAGTCGGCGATTGGCTGATAGGAGGAAATATTCCATTTTTACAACTTCTGGATTTTATGATTCCCGTTGAATTTATGCGAAGCAGTTTCACTAGAGTCAATTTCACAATGTCCGTCATTTTCAACTCGCTTTGGTCAATTCAGTTTGGGAGGATTTACAAAGTCAAACAAGCAACGCATATAAATTGACAAAAAATCGATATCAGTATGCAACAATGCTTTTGGTTATTTCTCCGGTTCTATTAATGGTTTGAGAACCAATTTCAACTTAGCATTTGGTGTCTGACAATAATATTTGTTATGCATTTCGATAGAAAAACCCATGTATTTTTAGGACGTAAATATTGTCGCGGTTTTGGAATATTCCGCGTCTTCTTTATGGGATTTGTGTTGCTGTTTGCTGTACACGCCCTGATCTCAATTGGAATCAATTTGCTATGGAATTTACTGGAAAATATCCAAAAGTTACTTGTAGGTGTAAGGTAAAGTGAACCTCCCACAGTCACGATGTAATTTTCTATTCATTTGCATAATATCGAGAGCCAAAGCTGAAATCAATAATATTTGCACACCACTGACGAACTTCGACGGCGATTTAGGCGTGAGCAAATACTAGACGGAATCCTAGAAAATAGGCCAATGAATTTTTAAAAAATTGATGGATATTTTTGTGGAAGTTGAAGTTTTAAACAGTTTTCAGGAAGTGTTTGGAAGTTTGGTTTAAGTGAGCGAGTTTTAACCAGAAATAATTTGAGTGGTCATCAAATCCAAACCGGCTAAAGAAACTCTAACAAGATTGGTAAAAGGAGGCCGGTTTTTGGACCCAGAAAAATAATGTTTCATTTGCAGCTATTTTTCACCAAATAGCATCACGGTGACCAACAAACCTCAACATCTTCTAGCAAATCTTTAGCTGCACTAAATATTCTTTTATGAATCTTTGCAAACTTTGAATGTTAGAGAACGGAACCATCTTGACACATTCTCGCAATACTCCTAAAATTTACGATGTTAAAACTTCGAAAAAAAACCTTAAACTTTTTCTTTCAAAGTATTGACGCACAAAGCCCAGTAAAGCTCTTGGGTTATACGCCTGAAAATCCAGATCAACCCTAAAAATGTCACAAGCTGGAAAAAACTTCCACTATAAAAAAAGATTAACGGACGACTATGTTCGCTTTTGATAGCGGGTTCAATGTCGTAAACATGACGACGGTCAGGGAATAGTTCCCCTGATGAAAAGCAACCACCCCTTCTGAGGCCTAATCTAAATATCAATTGATAGGGCTTGTTATCGTAAATGACATGTTTTTATTGTTAGTTCTTGTTCCCAGTGCCGCTGCTTTGATCAATTGTTTGCTGGTTGCTGTTTTAATTCAAGAGTTTTTTGATTCGAAGAACTTTCTTGGTCAACAGTTTGCATAATAAATTCCCTAGGCATTCCTTTAGCTCTGAACCTTAACATAAAGCTTTTGCAGATTTTTTTTCAGGGCATCAGGACTGATTATTTTGAACACTCCAAAGAATGAGACTCGTGAGCTTCGCAGTTCATAATTCATCCCCAACGTGCGGATGTCGGCCGGACTCCTCTTGATTTGTAACGTACATTTAAGGTACTGTAATGTCTCGCTCATATCCTAGATGTGGGGCATCATCTTCTGTCGTTTCTTTGAGTGTAAGTTTTGAATGAAATGAAATGTGGTTTTTCAGAAAAAGCTTGCATATCCAGATCATGATATGAAAAGTCCAGAAAGGTGAATTTTTCTAGCGACAAGAAAAACAATTTAACGCAATTTTTTTTATGATTTACTCGATTACTTATTGAACTTAAGCTCTTATTAAAATAGTTATAAGCAAGCTTGAAAAAAATGGGTTTTCAAAAAAATCAATAGACTGACTAATATCACTCGTTATATCCTCACTCATTCCATACGCACTTTAAATTAAGAAAATATATTGATAATTTTACATTACCATGAGTTTAAAAACGAGGAAACCATGAAAAATGAGTTGCAAATGCATATATTACAAGAAACATGTAAACATATTTTTCTACTCCAAGCCAGATAACATTATACGAATAATGTTAATCTACTATTTTATTTCTACGTACTAACAAGAAGTAAACTTAAAGGTTGTATTTTAATACAGCAATATTGGAAATTGTGTATTCCAATTTAATGATGCTGAAAGGAACGATGGTGTTGTTGCTTGATTTTAAATTTATTTTTATATGTAATTCGGAGACTTTTTATTTTCGTAATTTTTAAATTTTTTGTTAATTTAGTAGGTAACATTTTAAATTGTTCAGAATGTTTCAGTTCATCGTTCATCAATTCAATCGATTTTTAGGCCCCTTAGATTCTGAACCGTGCTGTGCCGGTTCACAATCACCTACACAACATTACCTACTGTTGAACCAACAGAATTAAGCTTAGAAAAATATTAAAAATAACTTTGCTGTAGATATTGAACATCGCAGGGAATTAATGTTTTTCTGGCACTTTTTGCATCATAACCATAATCTGCTGGCAGATTTATAACTGCACCAGAAATTTTCCAATAGAGGATTCTCTTCCAATTTAGTCCCTAATCGACGTATTTTTTTTATTTTTATTATAATATTAAATTATTTGGGTTCATCCACTTCAGGCTTTCAGATGTTTGTTTCGTTATCTCAAGCTGATTTCAAACAGTAAAAGCTTTTTAGGACATTTTTAGAGTGTTGTAGAACATGGTTTTACAAGCTCTTACGCTCTCTTCTTTTTTTGCATCAAAAACTGCTGTAAGTAGTTTTTCGGCTTACACTGCAATTTGTTCTGTTTATTGCTCTTTTCTTTCGTTTCCCCATTTCCCAGATTCGTTAAAAATGCGTTGACTTTTCCTTTCAATTTATATCATTCCAATGCATCATTTTTTGTTTTGGATATATTCAACGATTTTTCATACCGCATTGTTTAGTTGTAGATTCATTGCCTTCTCTTCCGAAATACCTGCCGCATTTTTATCTTTTCTTTTCATTACTGTTATATCCCCAGTCGTATCCCACTTTTACGTTGGTTTTTCCTGCGTTTGCATTATTTTTTAGTTGCGTGCTAAGAACTCTCTTTTTCCGCATAGTTTTCATCTATCTCATCTGGTAAAACATTTCGATAATTTTTTTCTAAACTGTATTCACTTTCAGCTTCCTCATTATCTAAATTAGTCTCGATTTCCATTTTTCGTTCAATTATATCACGTGAATTATTTTGTGCGCTGCTCTAATATCATGAGCAAGCAAAAAGTTGTTTAAAGCAACAGTTTCACGTTTATTTTTGTAAATTATATATTGCAAGAGATCGTTTAGAAAAAACAGAGATACTTAACTAATCAGAAAGAATTTAGAATCATCTGATTGTTCATCATGGTCAGAACTTACACTTTCAGACAGTTTTTTGGAATAAGCATTATTGATTTGACTTTCCATAAAAACTTTTCTTAAAATTTTGAAGTTTTTTGAAGTTCGATTAAATTAAATAAACTTCGACTTGCTCGGTTCAGTTAAAAATAAATATTTAACTATTTCATCATGATATTAAGTTGTGAATTTTTCTTTTGATCTTTGAGCATTGAATGCTCGGATGTACGCAATCATATTAGAAACAGTCGGACTAAGCAGAGGATCAATTAGTTAGCACAAAATCGAAGATATCCAGTGCTTAAGGAGATGGCAATTTCTGAAAAAAGTGGAGTTACACACTTTTTTGGGACAATATCCGCGTTTGTTCATCATCAAGATCAAACATCTTATTAATATAAACAATGCGACTTAGGTCCAGTTTAGATGATAAAAAGCTTTAATTTGGGGGCTGGAATATGATGGGACGGTTATGATTGCCTCCTGAATAGGCGAGTTGTTAAAGTAAACGACCCGTATATCCGTAGTGCACACGTGTAAATCGTACATAATGGTAATTGTACATGGCGCTCCCGAACAAGGCCGTAGTTCAAACGGGCCCTTGGCAGTCCATATTTCATTGGGGACGTTGCGGACGTCCACCGGACGTTCGCGGTTAGCAACCTGCAACGCTCAACGGCATATTTGCCTGCATTCAGTCGCTATTAGCAGCATCCGTGACGAATTAATTTTTATTTTTGCTGAATCCATTCCTAGAAGACGCTGATGACGTGCAAACTCATTTACTTCCAGCAAAACGTGAAAGGAACAACTCTAAACTCTTCCATCCGGCAACTAAATATGTGCCTTACCTTGTAATTTGGCCACTCCTTTGAAAGTTACGGGATCGATCACTGTCGCATCGCTTCGGCCCTTTTTGTTTACGGCATACAACATGATGCGGTAACTAGTTCCCGGGTCCAGCCCATCAGCTACAAAGATGGGTGCCTGTAAAATTTTGCAACTTCACTTTTTGCCTCCTGATAAGAACTCCGAGGTATCAATCACGTATCGAACAGGGCAAGCTTGGTCTAGCTAGTTTTTCGTCATTAACGATGGGTTTTATGTGTAAGAAATGAAAGTGTTTGTTATGAATAAGCACAAATCGAATTTTAACTGTTTTCTATGTGACTCTTAAACGTTTTTAGTGATGAGCAAAAGAGAGACTTGCATGGTCTTGGTTTGGGCCTTGCTGTGAGTCTTGCTTTTAAATAAGGTGTAAAACAAAATACAATCAATTCAATAATAATCATAAAATAAACAGATAATCACTCGGCACAACATTTCCATTATAGTGTTTAATGTCGACGTTGTGCCTAGCCCTTCGTGCACGACACTGATTTTAAGGTGGTTTTGATGTAAAAACACTGCGAACACACCGATTGATCACTTAGTATTGAAAAATCAGTATCCTTCCTACTTCGACACTAAACACTCTAATGCGAATATTGTGCAGAACGCTTGGGGCACGACGCTGATTTTAAGATTATTTTGGCATAAAACACTCTAAACCTGACGATTGTTCCTTTTGAGCCAAAAATCAGTGTCGTCCCGAAGGTCTCGGCACAACTTCGACTTTAAATACTATAATGGATATGTTGTGCCGAGCCCTTCAGACACGATACTGATTTTAAGGTGGTTTTGATGTAAAAACATTGCAATCCTACCAATTGATCACTTAGTGTCGAAAAATCAGTGTCCTTCCCGAAGAGCTGGGCACAACTTCGACATTAAACACCCCAACGCCATTGTTGTGCCGAAAAAAACACTGTGAACTTTCCTATTGAGCATTTTGTGCCGAAAATAAGTCTAAACTTCGGAATAAATTTATTATGACTTAAACAGTGAATATAAATATAATTGAGACTTTCCAAACCAGCAAAGCTCATAAAAAACCATTACACTTTAGCTCAAAAAAATAAAATTGCAAACCCCAATCCCCTGCTTATTCAATATAATGCTTGAGTTTACTCTATCGCAAAAATTGATACTTTACCTTATAGGTTGTGATGTTTAATCGCGATTTGAGCCCGGGCAATTCCAAAATTTCCATTTCAAAGCTTTGGGTTAACCCTCCGTCATAGCCCTCAACGCATTCCACTTGCAAAGAGTTGGTGGTTTGGTTTAGCAGCGTGCAGTTTTGCAGATGAGATGGACGGCCTGAAAAGAATATTAGTAGATATTGAATTTTTCCAAAAAACCAGCCAAAGAGGGAAATGATTCAATCTTCAATATCAAATCAAATAAGCTTTTAACGAGCATCAGAAAGAGCTAGAGTTTGGCGAAAAGTTGCTACTATTGGAACGCTAAAACCATATATATGAAACTCGCTGTTTCCAGCAGGCAATTTTCGTTTGGTCTTCCCTGGAAAATTTCCATAATTGATTTATTCCACCTGAATCCATTTGTTTATGTTAGATAAATGAACCGTAATTAGAACAGTTTAGCGAACATATTTGGTAATCGACCAGTTTATCAATAACCACCCCCCAAGCACACAAGTAATGTTTTGTTTGGGTATTTAATATATTTGGTGCCACATTGAACCGAATAATGTCTACCCCAGCCAGTAATAGTCAAAGTGAAATAGATTTCAGATAATCAAGCTGGGAAAATCTAAAACAATTTTTCATTTACCACGCCTGGGAGAGGTTGAGCAATCTGATTGAACCGGTAGAAAATAAATCTCATTTAGTCGGCCAATGGCGCTAACGAGTTCGGGCTCACTCTTCTATTCCGAATCATTCTGGAAAAAGTCGGGCACAAAAGATGTCAAATTCTAATTGTTCGCGGTTCACTAAAGCTCGACGGCGTTTGAAATATTCAGCAAAGAGTCCCGATTTGTCTGTCGGTTCTTTTTCACGAATGCATCGTATTAATTTTCGTCGCGATAGTATGATACAGCAATTTTCCATCGGATTAATTCCCTTTCATTGCGTTTGAAATAGCGCTGGAACCAGTTGGAGCAAATCGCGTTTGGTGAATCAAGACGGAAAAACGGTTTTATTAAATGGGAATTACGAAAACTCTGATCTCAAGTAGAATCGCTATAACACACCTTTTACTCTAAATGAGGAATTTTGTGCGAAATTGTGAAATGTGTGAAAATTAAGGTAGTTCCAGTGATTAAAGAAGGCCAACAGTTAACATTTTGTTGGATATTTACACAGTTAAAAAGCTGGTCAAATTTTGACTTCAAATTGCGCTTTAAATTTTTTTCGTTGTTTCACCCTTGAGAATTTGTGTTTGAGTTAGTTTGTGTTTCAGAATTAATTTCTCTCAATCAACACCAGGTAAAAATTTGTTTTGAGCCATTCAACTACAAAGCTTGATTTAAGAACATATTTCTGCAAAACTTTCATCAATTTTTAGAAATTCTATTCAGTATATCTAAAAACCGCATAAAATAGCCCAAAAATGTGTATTTTTTCGGATTTGAAGCTTCTAGAATTTTATTCAATGAGCTCGTCGCGTTATTCGCTTCTTTTTGATGAAACGGATGCCCAGCTGGAGAAGCTTTGAGAAATTATATATTTTTTTACAAAATTTATCCCACCCTTATAAAAGTTTAGTTAAAAAAACAAAATTTCACATGTGTACTTGTTGAGATCAATCGGCTGTAAGAAGCTTACAAATGTACATTTTTAAGGTTATTGTGTTTATAATAAGGACAATATCGCCGCCGAAAGACGGTCATTCTTCAAAAACCGCACAAAATATTCCAAACATGTGGATTATTTCAGATTTGAAGCTTTTAACATGTTTTTCAACGGGTTCGTCGCATTTTGCGCTTTATTTTGATGAAACTGATATATATCTTGAGGAGCTTTGATAGATTTTAAATTTTTTCAAAAAAAATTTATATTTTTTTACAAAATTTATCCCATCCTTCTGAAATTTTAGGTAAAAATTCAAAATTTCACATGCGTGTTTTTGGAGCGCAATATATTGTTTTTGACCGAATCAGCTCCCCTATACGCATATATAAAGTGGTTGGGTCTAAAATAAGGAAGGGATCGACTGTTAAAGATTGGATTGCTCCAAAATCGCATGAAAAAGCCCCAAGAATGACGAGTATTTCGGATTTGATGATTTAAACGTGATTTTCAATGAGCCCATCGCATTTTTTGCTTCTTTTTTTTTATTAAGTTAAGTTTATTATAAGTGAAGTATAATTTAAGGCGCTTTGAAAAATTTTATATTTTTTGAAAAAAAATTATCTTCACTTGAGCTCAATGGATTGTTTTAACATGTATTATAAAGCGATTGGGTCTATAATAATAAAGATATCGTTGGTTAAAGATTGTTATTGCTCAAACACCACTTAAAAAGCCCGAAAAATCCGGATTAATTCGAAGCTTCAAGCGTGTTTTTCAATGAGCTCGACGCATTCGTTGCCTTTTTTTGATGAAACTGATGTATAATTTAGGCGCATTGCGACATGTGATAACGTTTGCCAGATATTTACAAATTAGCGCAGTTTTTTTTATTTTTATTCAGCCGTTCTTTAATGTTCGAGAACTTGTGTTTGTTTTTCTTGTACTTTAGTCGATTTATCAATCCTTAACCGGGCTGCCAAGTTTTTTAATATTATAATTTTTAAAGCATTTATTTATTTTGAAAAAACGATTGGCCAATTGAAAGAACCTAGATTAAAAGCAAACCAAAATCGGCATAAATCGGCATTACAGTCTGAAACAAAAAGCAAGCGGGATTGATCTCATTGAGGAATTTCAATGAGCTTTGGTGTTCCGTTCAATATGCACAGAGCGAATTCAGAATCGTCCCAGAAATGAAGTAATCGATCACCATTAAAGGCTCGTGGGATAAAACGGCTGTTTTTATTAATCGAAACACTAATCTACGTCGGAGGGTTGGCTTTCAAGGGCCCGTGATACGAATCTAAATGCGGTTTACGCACTTAATCTAATCTAGAATGAATGCTGTCGTTTTATTGCCTGATTCGATTTACCTTTGTATAGTGGCCGCTCAGTCATTTCATGTCTTTGCTCCCAGCATTACCACTTTAGGGAAAACTTGATAATCATTTAATTGACTAGTTTTTATTGGAAGACTATTGTGCACACATTAGCTTTCGCAAGATAATACGCTTTCCCGAGGCAAACCAGCTAATATTAAACGATTTAGTTTCGAGAACATACTCTAATATTATGTGTGCAGATTGGCTTAAGTATACAATGTTAAATGAGTTTGTCTTGTTCATTACAATGGTCAATATTGGTTTGGTTTAAAAGCGAAACTATCTAGGCGAACTTTTTGTTTATTTTTCACATAGATTAATGTTTTTGAATGTTCAATATGCGTATTTTTTAGTTAATCCCTCTAAAATCTCCTTTCAAAGCTCACCGTTTTTAAATTTCAATCGCGCCACCAGCTGAGTATTTTTTGGCCTTTTACCAGCATTGAAAAAATACGGCAACAATAATCCTGTTTCCATCAGCCGTCAGTACTCTTTTCCTGCCAGTCGGTTTGCAGATTTGCGCTTCGTAAAGCCTTGCTGATGGTTGACGTGTCCGAAGCTTATCAGGTGTTTCTTTTAATTGAAATTTTGACTGATGGTTCTTTCGTCGGCTCTGCTTTTTTCCTCGTTTTCCTTCAAGTTTGGATGTTCCTGCGAATCATCTTTCCAAAATTCCATGTCAGACGAAATAATACTTTTATTTTTGGCGGACATCGGGCCCATTAAAGCGCTTGGTACGATTTTCGTCAAAATGGACCAAATTCAAATTGTAATGTTTTATCCCCAATAAATATTATTCCTCACTTTTTTTGAAGGGAACGTATAAAATTTGGATTGATTTTAGGAATCAACATTTCTCAAACGTTGTCACTGAGAAGTCTTAACTAATTATTTCCTTGCAGACTTAGATTTTTCGGAGTCTTTTTGTCATTTTTGTCTTTAATTTTGCTGACTTTTATGCTGCCTGGCTGGCTTAACTTTCTGATAGAACTTTTGTCAATTTTTCGCTCTCAGCCAACAAGTTTCGAGAATTTTTAAATATTCTATTGAAGCGCAATTTCCTTATTTTTGCCGATGAAAACTCCGAGATAAATAATTCTTCATTAAAACCTTGCTAAGATCATTTATTCTAGCTCTCATTTAGCTGGTTTGTATCTATGCTGTATATGCAGGGTGGTCCTCAACTAATCTGCCGAAATTCACTGACATATTCTTTAGGCGAAAACAGTGCCAAGCAAAATCTAATAAAGTTTTCCCTCGCATTAATGCTGCGAGCAAAAGAAAGCATTTTCAAATCAGCATACGGTTTGAATCTGGATCTGCCATTTCAGCGGACTGTACTCAACTTATCCAGCATTTAAAGTTGAAATTTTCATGAAAATGGAGCAAAAAATTTTTTCTCAACATCAAATTATGTATTCCGTCGCTCTTGCCACCAAAGAAGCCTTGATCAATAGTACTTTTTGACAAAATATCTCATAATTTATGAATTTTTTAAATTATATTAAATTAAACAAATGGAAAATCTACCTACTTTGTTTAGGAGACCAACATTTTTTGGTTTATTTCCATCAGTGCCAAAAGCACGGAACTTGAAGCAGACAAAAATTGAAACATTCCATTTAAATTTCCAGCTCGGCTAAAGTATCGAGTTAAAAATGTTGGCGCATTGGCTCAAAGATCGATCTATAGATATTCTTTTATCGGATCTGAAAAGAAATACTTTTTGGGAAATGGGCAACAATTAGAATTTGACATCTTTTGTGTCCCGCGTTTCCTCGAATGATTGGGAACAAGAAATATCAGGCTCGTTAGCGTCAATAGCTTACAAAATGAAATTTTCTTCAATCCCGTTTTCCACTAAGGTTACGAAATTATTGAACATCGATGCGGTAATTCGAAAGGCAATTTCTTTCCACCGTATTCAATAGAGCCGGAAATTTCCTGTTCTAGTTTAACGGAAATTAGAACTGTTTTGGCTTTTCTATAACCAATTAACTGATCTCCTATTTTAGATAAGCGTAAACTATGGCGTCGGCCTAGCTAGTGAGTGCCTTAAACGACGGTCGCTTATATAATTGGAATTATTAACCCGCAATGTATTCCTAGACATTAATTCGGTCAACATAATACCCGACCTGTTTCCGCAGCTCAACATACAAGACACGGGAAGGGTCGA